GCGGCCATGCCTCGCACATCCACGCAACTTTGTTTGTTCGCCAGAACAGTCGTTTGTTGACGGGCGACGCAGATGGCTGGGTCGTTCTCTGGAATGTTCAGACGAAGCGACCAACTGCTGTCTGGCCAGCTCACGATGGCCCCATCCTGGGCTTCGCCCAATGGGGAGATGCAAAAATCATAACGTGCGTGTCACTGTAGCAAACCACCAATCACCCAAGAACTAGCCCGCGTCCGCCTGTCGAGCTCTACTAACATCAGACCGCCAACACAGACATGGACGAGACAACAGAATCAGAGTCTGGCGACTTGCACTCGAAGACGAGACAGAGAAACTTTCATCAACATTACCTGAAGATGGGGACCGAGAACGTACACCCAAACCGTGGCTTCTTCATTCGCTTCCCGTCAACACTCTCAACTTCTGCAGTTTCTCCATGGGTTACCAGCATCCTCCAGCGTCCATCGCAGAGAATGATTCCATATTTGTGGCCGTCCCGTCAACGGACGACAAGGTCATCGACGTGTATAGCTTCCCTGGTGAGCTACTCAAGGTCAGGATCCCACAGATACGGACCGTCGAAACAGGCATGGTCATGGCCGTGAGATTTGTTCGTAATAGAGCCACGCAGAGACTTCTCCTGCTCGCAGGGTATGAAGGCGGGGTCACTGCAGCCTTCAAGCTGGCTGAAGAACACCCTGACACGAGCGTAGAGACTGCCCAGCTTGTATACCTCAGTCAACCCCATTCTCAGCCGATTCTGTCATTGGACGCTTCGCCAGAGAGCGACTTCTATTTCACATCCTCGGCAGATGCAATAGTAGCCAAGCATCAGATACCGGAGTTGCCATCCATTCCGGGTAAAGAAGACAACGACCCACCCGTACCGTCTTCAGATCTATTCACAAAGCAAACTGTTGATCAGGCGAGCTCCAAGAAAGCGACACCCAGCGGTCTATCTTCACTGCTTTCGTCGGCCGCACCGCTACCGAAGTTCAAGCCTGCTCTGCCAGTCCAGAAAGTGGTCAACTTACAAGCCCCGTACAAAACAACAGACACCAAACACGCAGGTCAACAGTCGCTCCGTGTCCGCTCGGATGGCAGGCTTCTGATTACCGGTGGTTGGGACTCACGGATCCGCATCTACAGCACCAAGACGCTCAAGGAAGTTGCCGTGCTAAAGTGGCACAAGGAAGGAGTGTACTCCACTGCATTCGGTGAGATTCTTACACAAGATGAGATAGGGTGCGGAGATGGGGCTGTCAACAAGCGGCAAAGAGACCGTGAGGAGCAGTCGAAGCTTAAACACTGGGTCGCTGCAGGAGCTAAAGACGGGAAAGTCAGTTTGTGGGAAGTGTTCTGAGTTGCTGTGTGGTCTTGTCGTGGGATTTGGAGTACGCCGACCGTCCCATGATGACGCATGTATACAAATAGATGTATTGTAGTATAAAGTGGCACGTTAATAGCAATCTACCAAGCAACTTTCAGAGTCGGTGGTGCTGATGGATAGCGAATCGGAGGTGATGGTGCGCCGGCGTGGCTTCCCCACAAGAAGCCGAGGCATAGCGACCGGGGAAGTGGGCCTGCGATGTCACCGTCCATCGTCGCGACGCTTCATGCCTGCTTCACCATGTCGTGGTAACAGTGCCAACGTGGACTGACACGAGATTAAAACACACGAAAAACTCCCTCTCCCGAGATCGATTCCTAGACGCGTCCTTCCCATGCGATACGCGCTGTCCGCCGCACCCTTTCCCTAAGGAGACGCTCCTTGCATATCCCACATCCGCATTCCAATCAGCATGGCCTCCTCAGACGAGGACCGGAAGTCCTCCACCGCGCGCCCCTCTAGCCCAGAACAAGCCCCCGATCTCAGCATCACGGCCGACGACAATGTCTACCTGCACGCAGCTGGCTACAACGAATCGCCCGACCGCGGCCTCATACACAGCTTCGCGCGCTTCCGATCCTCGCCGCTCGACTTCATTCGCGAAGTCTCGCTACACTTCTCAGGGACAGGATGGAGGTCTTTTGACGATCACATTGGACAGCCAGAGTTCTACCCGGGCTTCAGCGAGGATATGAAGGCGAGGGTGTTGAGCAACCCAATGCTCGTCGCCAAAGTGCGCGAGTTGGCGGACAAGAGGGTTGAGGTCGAGGCGAAAGAAGGGCTGTTGGGCGAGGATGCGATGCATGGGGTTGGTGTCGGCGAGAAAGATAAAAAGGCAAAGAGGAGGGTGCAGATTGAGGAATCGCTTATGCAGGTCAGCGAAGGCTGGACGGATTCCATGATCTGCAAGATGGAAAGCAAAGGCTTCATAAGAGGCGCATACTACTTTGCTACACAACTCTTGACAAGAGCATACCACCAGGGCGTCCACGTCTCGAGCGAGGAAGTGCTACGCCTGCGCGCTGTCGCCGAGAAGGCAGCAAAAGACAAGCACTCCATTATCTTCCTTCCGTGTCACCGCTCGCACGTAGACTACGTCTCGCTACAAATCATCTGCTACCGACTCGGGCTTGCCTTGCCCACAGTCGTGGCTGGTGATAACCTCAACTTCCCAGTCGTCGGGTCCTTCCTTCAACACGCCGGCGCTATGTGGATACGAAGGAGCTTCGGGGACGATCAGCTGTACATTACACTTGTACAATCCTACATCGATACCCTGCTGCAATGTGGATACAATCTGGAGTGCTTCGTAGAAGGAGGGAGAAGTCGTACAGGCAAGCTTCTGCCGCCCAAGTTCGGCATACTGAGTTACATGCTCGACAGTATCGCGAGCGGTAGGGTGGAGGACGCGATCATCTGCCCGGTATCGACGCAGTACGATAAGGTCATCGAGGTTGAGTAAGTCTTTCGATCAGCTTGTTCCCATAGGGAAAACTAACACACCCCAGCTCATACATTAGCGAACTCCTCGGTCAACCCAAACCCAAAGAAAACCTCATGGACTTCCTGTCCGCTTCCAGCGTTCTCTCCCTCAAGCTCGGCCGTGTAGACGTCCGTTTCCACGAGCCGTGGTCACTCAAATCCTTCATCACTCAGCAACGCGAACGCTTCTCTAAACTTCCGCAGCAACTCGATACCAAAGACGACCGACTCCGTCTCCTCCGCACACTGGGCTACAAAGTTTTGTCAGAGATCAACGACGTCTCCGTCGTGATGCCCACCGCTCTCGTTGGTACCGTCTTACTGACATTGAGAGGTCGTGGCGTAGGCAAATCAGAACTCATCCGCCGAGTCGAATGGCTTAGCGACCGTGTCAGGGCTCAAGGTGGCCGTGTAGCACATTTTGGGAATCTCCCCACTAGTGTCGTTGTCGACCGCGCTTTAGAAGTTCTGGGACCTGGACTTGTTGGCCTAGTCCCCGGATTACCAGAAGACACATTTTACGCCGTGGATAGGTTCCAACTCTCCTTCTACAGAAACATGACCATTCATCTCTTCATCCTACAAAGCCTGGTCAGCGCAGCACTATACACGCATGTAAAGCAGGGCGGCGGCCCAGAGTATCAACGCATGTCTTACGGCGACCTGCGCGCACAGGTGCACTTCCTCTCGCAGCTCTTCCGGGGAGAGTTTATCTTCCCCACCGAAGGTCTCGATACCAATCTCGCCAAGACACTCGAAGGACTAGAAAAAGACGGTGTCATCACGATGTCACGGTCAAAAACCGAGCTCGGCGAAGAAACCGTGGATTGCGTCGAATTATCACCTGCTGAACGGACCCAAGGACGCGAAAACTATGACTTCTACTGTTTCCTCATCTGGCCGTTTATCGAAGCCGCCTGGCTTGGTGCTATCAGTCTGATGATGCTCACTCCTCCCCTCTCGTCACCCGCTACTATATCACCGTCCTCATGGCTCGACCTCAAGAAAGTCCAAGATCGCGCACAAGTCCTCGGCAAGACTCTCTACCACCAGGGCGACCTTTCCTACTTCGAGGCTGTAAACAAGGAAACACTGAAGAATGCGTATACGCGCTTCCAGGAAGAAGGCATGATTCTTGTTACGAAATCCAAAGACAAGACGCCCGCCACTATCAGACTAGCAGAGGAGTGGACTCCGCAAAGAGGGTCGAACGGTGGCATCATCGCCGATGGTCCATTATGGCGCTTCGCTGAGCGCATTAGTGCTTCGCGAAGAGAAGGCAAGAATCGGCGCGATGGAGCGACAGTTCAGACGAGAGTTCTTGCGCTGGCGGATCTAGTTGGTGAGAAGCTTTGGGAGGATGCAGTGTTTGATAGAAAGGAGTTGGATGGTGATGAGGTGGGTGCTGTCGAAGGGAAGGCAAAGAGCATGCGGAAGAGAGGGAATATGGCGCGACTTTAGCTTGCTTGTTGTATGATTTGTCATGTACTTTAGGTTTGGGAAATATACCATTTGCTTGTTCGTTCCATTTTATGGGTATAAAGATTCCGCTTCTGCTCATGATATTCTCGATCGCTGAAGCTGCTAATCAGAGAGATGAAGCAGGGACCGTGATGCTATTCGCAAGGTTCTATAAGCACAACACATCGCTAATGGTGGTTGTATGTGAGCACAAGGACATACACTCGTATTGTACGATACATTGATAGACAACAGGACGTCTACAGTACACTCGTGATACTTGGTCGTTCCTACCAAACAGCCATGAGTTCTCGTGGAGACCTTACATATGCCTCATCTTACTATCTCGTAGTGCATGTGGCGATCAGAGGTTGCTAAGTCACCCTACTTACCCCAACAGGTGCCGCTCGGCTACCCTCTCACCTCAAGGTGATATTGACGCTAGCGCCACCTCAGTGACTGCGTATGCCCACGAGCTCTATGAAAGCCAAGCTATCAGTGTACTCAGCCATCACTCCTTCATCCTTCCTTGTCAAACCAGGGTTATAACTACTATATTATCTCCCCAGTAAACAAGATAACAACGTTCACGTCTGCTCACGTAAGTCCCGTCTCTTGATTACGCTGTTGATAGCATATTGATAATAAGAGTAGCTACAGCATCGATATGGGCAAGAAGTGCGAGCGTTACGACAAACAGCAGCTTCTTGACATGCTCCAGGAGCAATGCCCCGATGCCATGGCTAAGCTTCCCTCGGCTGATACGTTCATCTTCCAAAATCTTGATGACGGCCCTGGAAAAGCAATGCTTCGTATTGGCACCTGCACCAAAGGAAAGCGCAGCCCAACAACGCACGAGCTTTATGTCCAATGTGGCGGCAAGGCAAAGCCTGAATTGTGGTTTGACATCCAAAACGACTATCAGAGCTTCAACGGCGACGGATTCTTCAAGAATATGGACGGGTGGTACATCTATTCGGACATTCTCAAGGCCGCGATCGCCTTTGTCTTTGTTTACTGCGGCCACAAGGAGAAGTTCTGCGATTTCGGCTTCGGGAATGGCTTCAAGTTGCTGGTCAAAGTACTGAATTATTTGCTCTCTGACGTCGAGGGTGGCGCCGCCTCTAGCAACAACACTGCAGATGCGGGCACTGATACTGCAGAAGCTTCAGATGCGGATGCAAACATGGTCAAAATCCCCGGTGACGACCGCTCTGAAGAGAAGCTGCCCGAGGAATACCCTCAGAAGTCACTGGACAACGTACTCTCTGAGAAACCCAGGAAGAGATCGCTCAGTGTCGAAAGCGATGAACCCGTGGTGCAGAAGAAGCTCCGCGTCGAGTAGGCACTAGCTTCTGCCCTGTGTTACTGTAAGTTGACGAGTCTGATCACAGCTTACCTGGGAGATGCTAACCATTCTCCAGGCTACAGGTTGCGGGGGAAAGCGGTTCATAGCTGAGAAGTTTGCGTGCGAGACTGAAAGTTGGTGAAGCGAGTTGAGATGGGTGGGAAGAAGACATGAATTTTACAGAGGGCTCGCGAGGGGGGCCTCGAGAACTACTCATACTATTAGAGTAGCTCTTACCTTCATGGTTTCCAAAGTCACTGATCACCTTCAAAATCCCTTCTTCCTCTCTTCAGCTCTTTCGTGATGTCACCCTATGCAAGGAAACAAATAGACACTCTGAAGTCTTCATTCATGCCAGATCCTCCGATTTGTTTGCATTCATTGCAGTGTAGTCTGCAAACCTGTTCGGTTTTTCCTTGTCTGAAGGAAGATGGCTATCATGGTTGGTTGGTAAGAACTGCCTAGATTACGATGCGCGTTGAGGTGGGTCTAGACAGAGCATGGCGATTGCAGTCAGAGAATGTAGAGGAACGATTCAGGCTGAATAGAGTCTCTCCGAGGAATCTCAACACATTTCAAATCTCCAGGACTGTTGCTTCGTTTCCGTATTTCTGTGTCATGCCCTTGTAAAGTCTCAATCACGGTCGCTTGGGGGAGATACTAGATAGTCGCAATCGCAAGTCGCGCTTGATACTCAGCCTTCCGGATGTGAAGGTAGTTGCTATACCGTCTCCTGTTCGCGACTTTCAGGCGCGCGACAAGTGACATCACGCAAACACGCGTTCGGCGCTACGCCGAAAACAGGAAGATGCTTGCTTAGCGCGTCACGCTTCCAGCGGGATGATGCGCCCCGCCATCTCAATTCCACGCAAGAAGGATAGTGCAGAACGCCCGTCCGGCAACCATGATGGACTCCGAGGATGTGCTGGATCTGTACGATATCGCCGTGTTACTCAATTACGAAAGGAACACCACGGAACCTCGGCTGCGACACACCAAGTTGAGGGAAGTCGCTTTCCCGGGTACGCAACCGAAGACAGTCGCACTCAGCAGTCCAATCGACCAAGGCTGGAACAACAACGCGTCTACCTGGATCGTATTGGATCAGCAGCAGACCAACGACCCAGACGCTCCAGACCTGCCCACGGAATTCTTGCCCCCGAACAAACGCAAGGATAGCGCGCTCTCCAATGAGCAGCTAGAGACGTTATTCCATCAAGCACGCAATCACGATGGCTGCTACCAGGCGATTAGTCTGCTTCAGATCTTCTTTGCACTGTTCTCCGAAGACACAAAGTTGAAGGTGAGACATGCGCCTAGTGGTAAGCAGCCCGGCATGTCTTATACGACAACAGTCAGTAGACGTGTCATTGTCGAAGAGTCCTTCCGTGACCCAAAGTTCACCACTGCTATCTGCATACTCCCGGAGGGCGCAATGTATGTTAGTGGGCATCAGCCACAACTTCTGCATGCGGTCGTAGGTTTCTCTCCGCTCGATAGCGACACGGTCCAATCGTTCTTCGATCTCTCGTCCATGCAGTTCGGCGATATAGGACGCGGACCTGGGCCGAAGGGAAAGCAGCTGTTCGCTCTGGATACCCCCGAGGAGTTTGCCCTGCGTTTCAGTATGTTGGCTAAGGGTGCAGATCCTAGCAAGAGCGACCGCACTCTAGCGATCAGTGGTACACCTGTAGACGATTGGCTATGGGAAGTGGCGATGAGGACGAAAAAGAGGTGGATGAATAGAGCGACGGAGAAATGGTGTGGTCACTGTGGAGCACCAGGTGCCAAATCCAAGTGTGCTGGATGCGGCGAGGCGTACTATTGCGGCAAGGACCATCAAAAGTTAGCTTGGGGATATCATAAAGGATATTGCGGGAAGCCTTGATGAAAGTTCTGACGAACGCAGAACCTGCAAATTAACGGACATCTCGTAGAACGTCTTAAACTTGGTGGGTCATATAACAGGGGGGGTATAATTCATCAACACTAGAGTTGTACCTAGAGTTGTACTGCACTTCAAATGTACATCCATCTCTCCATCCACTGTACGGCACGCAGTATCAGACTGTGCAAGACAGCACAAAGACATGAACTGCTTTCCAGGACGATGGCCATATCATCCACGACCGAATGCAACACTACTGTACTCACATCCTCCCACTCGGCAACTCATTAATGGTGGCTGGAACTGGCGGCGACATAGCTGGGGAGTACTGCGGTACAGGGCTCACTGGCCCGTCCGAATAGTGCGGGTTCGCCTGCACAGGATTCACAGCACCTGATATTTTCTCCGGCATCGCATAGCCACCCTGCTGCGTAGCATACGCAGACTGAGCATTGGGGTCATAGAAATGTTGCGCGGGTTGCTGTGCGTTCGGATCGTACTGACCGTAGTGCTGTTGGTGTTGAGGCGGTGGAGACGGCATCTGTTGCATGTGTTGCTGAGGGACGGGCTTCTGCTCGTGGTAGTACTGGACACCGGCTGGTGGAGCTTGAGGTGCGGTGGGTGGCTGCTGCATGTTGTTGTTGACGGTGGTATTGTTCTGTTGCTTCTTCTTGCGGCGAAGAAGGAAGAAGACTCCGAGAACTACAGCGGCTAGAAGAGCGACGCCGCCGATTAATCCACCGGCGATTGCGCCTACTGGAGTTGACTTCTTGGAATTGTTGGAATTGTTGGATTCGTTGGAGTTGTTGGAGTCGTTGGAATCTTCGTTACCGGAGGAAGGTGTAAGGTCAAGTGGTGCATCTGAGGGACGACCGGAAGCGGTACGTGAGAGTGGAGTGAAGGACAGAGAGATTGGGGTATTCGAGGATGAGCCAGTGTTAGGGGAGGTTGATGAATCTTGGAAGTGTGTTGTCAGTCAATGCTTCATCAAGGTTAGACAGATTGCATACCTTGGTCTGGGGTGGTTACTAAGATCCTTCCTCCCGTTTCCGTCTTAGCATCGCACCAGTAGTTGGTCAATGGTGAAGGGTCATTGATATCTGTTGCCAGCTCCCAGTAGCTGCAAGTTAAGTTTGAGCCTCCACTGCGATGCCATGTTAGTATACAATATCCAGGCGACCAGGAGCCAGAACGCACCAGAAGACTGATGTAGTCGGATACACAACGTAATCGCTCTCACAAGAAAAGAACTCGCAAAGAGATTCTGGCGCACAGATCTTGTAAAGGCTACCTGATGTTGCGATGACATGACCCTCGTTATTTGCGGTGATGGTGTCATCTAAGACTTCTTAGCAACAATCGAGCAGCCATGTAGGTAATCAATCTTACACAGTGTACTCGAGCCATACATGCCCGTGGAAATATATCCAAGGGTAGTAACATCCCTAACAGCCAGTGCTACAGCTGTTGCAGCAGGGGCGGGCGTGACAGCAGGCGTCGGTGCCCGTATCATAGCAGTGCTCCCATACTTTGCGGAAAAGAGAACGACCAGCAACGAAGAAAGCCTGGTATATGCCATGACGTTTCAGACCCGAGAAATTACAAAACGAGGAACAGAAAGCACCCTTAAGGAAAGAGCAGGGCCCTATAAGCTAAGTACTCATACCTAGGTACGTTGAGCTACGTACAATGAGAAAGACATTGCGCCGTAAGGCGTGCAGCGACCCGCTGGGGCTTGCCGGCTGCGGCCACACATACGAGGAGAGCGTATTGAAGGCTGATCAGCTGAGAATTTGTGCATTTGGGTTCCATGAAAGCGTTCGGTTGGACGTGCTTGTTGTACATGCAGGATTGCTGCAATACTTGCACCACACCTACGCTTTTCCTGCTCATTCTTTCCGTTACTGCATCATCTCAAGCACAGTTGTTCAGTATTTCCACAAGGTGTTCGTCTTGACGCTAGACGCAATGGTGACCGCTGCAGGGACAACGGATGTGTAGCTAGCATGGGGTAGCGAGCTGAAGAAGAAAGAAACAATCCGCCTCGCTTGTGTAGCGCCGCGATAGGCTGTAAACAAGCCGCTTGCAGCCATCACCACCGTGCGCTTTACCTCTTTAATATGAACACCAGGCACGTCGGATGTCTTGGTCGCCAGATAATCTCACCGGAAAGCCATGTGTTGTGCGACGCGGCAGAGTCGCATGTAGATCCCCATCGTGGCCGTGAACTGCCGAGGTAGGGTTTGAGGCGCAATAATTAACAAGCCTTCTCATGTCCCAAATGACAGCTGCAAGTGATGAGCTTGTGCACGATCGTATCGTTGGGAGTCTTTTGGTGTTTGGTGCAAATCGAGGCCTGCAAGCTTTGGTTGCCTACATAGCTTTGAGAACAGGTGCTAGTCGGTCCGAAAGCCCTACACGATGGTCACATTTGGCCCCCAAAAGCTTTAATGAGTCAGTGCCGCGGCAAGCAGATTTCGGTTGGGGGTCCTTAGGGTGGCTTGGAACAGAGTGGGGATAATAGAGGAGTATCTTGCACGTGGGCTTGGAGCCTTCATTACGCTGTCGTTATCTTTTCAGTCGGGTCTATCTCCTCTTGACGCCAGGACATCTAATGTCCATGGCCATCGTCACCACCTCCACCTTGCTCCTCTGGATCCAGCTTGATCAGGGTATCGATACGCATAATCGCAACACACGCCTCCACTGCTGACTTCAATTGCTTGACTTTGCTCATGCTGGGTTCCAGTACACCGGCCTTTAGGCAGTCGTGCACTTTACCGTTTGACAGGTCCAGACCGTAGTTCTTGTAGTTCTTCGACTTGGCCAGCTGCTTTGCGTCTTGCGACGAAGGGTCTGAAGGGTTCACTGTCCGCTGTGAAAGAGCGTGCCGTGATCGGAGGTTGGCGACGAGCTCGGTAGCATCCTTGGCCGCGTTGATGGCAAGTGTCTTAGGAATAGCAAGCAGAGACTGCGCAAAAGCAGCAATGGCCAACTGTTCCCGAGAGCCCTAGATTTATCGTTAGTCACGTTGTAGACATGCAAGGATTGGAGTGACTTACCACTGACGTTGCCCACTCTTCCAAGTAGATGTGCAACGCAGTTTCAACGGCACCTCCACCAGGGACGATGCGGCCGCTCTCGAGGGTTCGCTTCACGGCTGATAATGAGTCGTGTACTGATCGCTCCATCTCGTCCAGAGCGTAGTCGTTCGCACCTCGCAGGATGATGGATGCGGATGAGAAAGCCTTGGTGCCCTTGACCAGAATGCACTCGTCATCGGAAATGCGCTCTTGCGAAACCTCCTCAGCATGGCCAAGGTTTGCTGCCTCAAACTTCTCGTCACCGTTCAGATCAGAAAGGGTGCTGACCAGGGTTGCACCGGTCGCCTTCGCTATCCTTCGCAGATCCTCCTTCTTACACCTTCGCACAGCCATGGCACCCTTCTCAACGAAGTGCTTGAGGCAGAGGTCGTCGATACCCTTTGTAGTCATGATGACGTTGGCGCCAGCCTTCAAGATCATCTCAATGCGCTCGGTGACAATGCCAGCTTCGCGCTCTCGGATCTTCTCTAGCTGCTCCGGGTCGTCGATGGTGATGTGAACACCCAACTTCATGCGCTCCTTCTGCAAGTTGATGTCCAAGCAGGCAATCTTGGCGTCGGTGATGCGCGTCTTCATGGCTTGCGAGGCGACCGTGCAGTTGAGAGCGTAGCCCTTGACCAGTATCGACTGAGTCGCGCTTTGACCATGTGCCTTGAGGATGTTGACAGCCTTTACAGGGTATTTGACCTCGCCCTTGTTGTTTGTCATCTTGACAGCAGTCATGCCGTCTACCACCATGTTGGCGAAGAAGTCGGAGTCGGAGCCGATGATCTTGCTGGACATGGACGTCTTCGCGATGTTGACTAGCGAGTCCCGACCGAGCGCATCGACCTTGGTGCTGATGTTCTCGTTCATGTACTTGACCGCCTCCCTCAGCGCCAGCCTGTAGCCTGTGATGATGGTGGTGGGGTGGATTTTGTTCTTCATGAGCTCGTTCGCTCTCCGCAGCAGCTCAGCCGCTATTATGACGACGGAGGTTGTGCCATCTCCGACTTCCTTGTCTTGTTGTTGGGCCAGGTCGACGAGGATTTTGCCTGCGGGGTGCTCGATATCCAGCAAACTGAGGATGGTAGCGCCGTCGTTGGTTACGGTAACGTCACCGATGTCGTCGACCATCATCTTGTCAAGACCCGAGGGTCCAAAGGACGACTTGACGACATTCGAGATCGCTTGGGTCGCGAGGACGTTTTGGTCGCGAATGTCCTGGCCGCTGATTTTCTGGCCGCCGAGGACTGCACGTGTTAGCTTTTTGCGGCGGTCTTGTTAGCTTCGGCGGCTTACACAGAGTTCCTCCGCTACGTGACTGCTCGAAGATTCCTGCCATTGTGTCGGGTGATAGCTGTTCTGCTTCGTTGTTGCTGCCTCTACGCGGTCCAGAAAATCTCCAGCAATGCCCGCCCGCGTCGGCGACGGCGAATGGTAGCTCCGCCCGTGAATCGCGCTAGTCTGGACCCCTGCGCCGATGACTCGGCCCTCCACACATTTGGCTGTCGACTCACACGAGACTGCAACGAGCCGACTCTGTCTTAGCTTTACGTGACTCTAGAGTGCTCTCGCCTTATATTGTTTGGGTTCCCCACCGTCTCTTTAACTTGCCATAACTCAATTGCACGTAAGTAGTCCCAAGTCGCGTCTTGATACCCCGCCTGCCCCACCAACTCACCCTGTTTACAAATGGGTTTGGCTAGAATATCTATACGACCGCGATTTCACTACCTTTTCATCCATTAGTACTCGTGAAGATATCTCTTGCGAGACGCTGACAGCTTTGTATAGCACCTTCCCAACATGGCTGAAGCCACAGCTGCCGATGGCAAGATGAAGGATCTTTCCATCTCTGAGACCAAGAAGAGCAAGAAGGATGGTAACCCCCAGAAAGCTGCGAAGAAGCCTCAGCAACAGAAGAAGAAGGTAGGTCTATGCGGCGACAC